GGAAAGGCCTGTAGATTCCAAATACAGCACTTTTAGACACCAAAAATCAGTATGCACAATAATATAAGCCCTTCTACACAGCGCAACACAGCAAACATAATGGCCGACACGGTGAACCCGTGTTCAAATGAAAAAACACGTCACATTTTTCCTTGGTAATATGAATCTGGCGCATTATGTTATTTTCGCTTTCAAAAAGAGGCAAATTGCATCAAATTGATGCGGGAGTGCGTGTGAGGAGATAATTGCTTTTAAATTGCAAAATTCGACGATTGAGAAGCAACGAGAAATGTTATCAGATTTCTGACTATGAAAGGGGTTAAATCAGCTGATATTAATCGCCGGATGGTGGCCGTATAAATAGGAGACTTTATGTCCAACAACTCAGTGAGAAATTGGAGTGCTGTTTTCGTAAAGGACAGAAGTGTTTGAATGATGACCAGAGATCAGGTCAGGTAAAACTCAGTAATCACGGCTGAACTCATCGACAAGGTGAAACCACCTGGTGAGAAATGATCGTTGTGCCACAAGGCGAATGTCAGCAGTGGTGGTGGGGGCCGGGGTTGGAACAGTGTGAACAATTGTGCACGACAGTTCTGGTTACCGGAAGGTGTGCACGCAGTCGGTTCCGAAGAAGCGCAGCGAATCGCAAAAGGAAATGCGTTAGGGGGCTAGGACTGCAACACTTGTTTCGATATCATGCCCCGCTTTCCTGGAGCGGATCGTCGCCGGTGCAGAGAGATGGTGCCATCACGCAATGGAAGCATGCGTCGTCACTTTCCCTATAGAATTCAAAGCTGTGTACTCAGCATGCGGTGCTCACCGTCTGAATTTGAATCTGACTGCCGAATTCTAACTAATACAAGAGATTCCCCCTAACCAAAACTGAAGTGAACAATGTTGTGGAAGCATTGATCAGAAAACAGGCACCAGTCCTGATGGACTGGACAATGAAATTGTCAAACAAATTAATAATTCTTTTCCTGGACTACTGTATTTAGTCTTTAAAGTGTGCGGGAGGATATGACACTTTCCCAGGAGCATGACGAAGGCGGAAATAGCACTTTTCTTGAAGCCAAACAAAGATCAAAGAGAACCTTCCTCATGCAGACCTGTGAGCCTACTCCCCACCATAAATAAGGTACTAGAGAAGTTAAGTCTTTCTAGATTAAGATTTCTAGATCTCTAAAGGAAAGTCAACGAACCAAGCAATTAATTATCTTATAAAAACGGTCATAAACAATAGGAATCAGGATAAACTTACAGTCATAGTCTCAAGGACTTTTTTATGCTTTATGGTGGACAGATGTTATAAACTGTCTAAAGGAAGCAAACTACCCACGAGATATTATATGCTTAATTTGAAGCTATTTAGAAGACAGACACATTCAATACACTTCGGATGAAGGCATACTTACCAAGAAACTGAAAAAAGGATGTACTCAGGGCTCGTACTTAGGACCGACCCTGTGGAACATGGCTGCCAACACGTCTTATCTCACTATAAGGTATAGAACATACCAAAAGGGTAGCCTTCGCTGATGACTTTGTCGTCATTATGACGGGGAGAAAAGATATTGAGCAAAACAGACAGCAAAGTCTTGATATATTTGCCAACTGGGCCAGAGCGCATAAGCTCAAAATCTCTACACAGTAAAACTCAGCTTATGCAAATAGGGCGAAAGGGCGTCCTAAAGCGTAACCCAGTTGTGAAACTTCTGGGATGTTCTGCCAAGTGTGTTCCAGAATTAACCTACCTTGGAGTTACATTCGACAAGAAACTTTCATGGTTGCTACATCTTCGTGCTATTAAACACAAGGTTGATCTACATACCAATTCCATGAAAAGAACAACTTTTCTCACGTGGGGCATTCCCCCACACTACTTGAAATTGTAGAATAAAGTCATAACGGAAAGAGTTATACTTTACGCAGTTTCAGTTTGGGGGCAACATTTTACAACACATATGAGGAAACAGCTGATAGGGATGCCAAGAACCCGACTACTTTTAATATGTAGAACATATCGAACTTCACCAATTTCAGCTCTTCAAGTATTAGCGGGAATTCCTCCATTGGATCTTACAGTGGAAAGGGAAGCAACAATCATAAGAATCACTAGGCTAAAATATAACGCAAAGCTTTGGGATGATATGTTTTTCAGCGCGGATTTTGAGCCGCATAACCATGTCACACTGGGACATCCCGCACACATAGATCTGACAAAGAATATTTCTATGACCTATAAACCTGTCTCACACAAAAAACCGTAATGTATACGGACGGCTTACGCACGGAATTAGGGACTGGAAGTGCTGGCCGTAAAAAACAATCAGGTACTAAATACTTAGACTAGACGAGTGAATATTAATAACACGTTCTTTCAAGCTGAAACTGACAGCACTGAAAGCAGCTATCAAACTAGCTCCCAATCTGAGAAACGACAGTGCAGTGATATTTAGAGCTTCAGCCTCTAGTCTTGCGGCAACACAAGGCCAAAATAATGAAAGAGATCTAGTGAACAGCATAAACGCCTGCTAACAAATTGTCCACCGCCCTAAAGATCTATCTCTTTTGGATGCCAGCACACGTTGGCATTCAGGGTAATGAGCAAGCAGACGAACTAGCGAAACAAAGTGCGAACAATATGTCACAAGAGGAATACCCGATAAAACTACCAGTATCATATCTGTAAAATATCGCATCAGCAAAACTCAAAATAATGTGGCAAAACAGATGGGCTGAGGCCACAACAGGACGCAGAACATTTAAATTTTATCCGAAAGTAAACTTCAAGCTTAAAACTTGCAATAGCTACATAACTCAATTTCTAATGGGGCACGGCCTTTTCCCGAGTAATCTTAAAAGATTTAATCTCCGTACCTCGGATAACTGCAGCTACGGTGAAGTGGGGGATCTAGATCATTTCCTTTTTCACTGCAGTAATACTTTTAAAACACATTAAAAAAAAAAAAAAAAAAAAAAAAAAAAAAAACAAGTGAACATAACCGGCACTTGTGGTTTGAAAATTTATTAGAAAATAAAATCGCATTTAACAAACTTTCTTTTGGTCAAACCTGTTACCTATATTTTTTATCAGAAATTTTATCGTAGAATCCTGAAGGAGTATTATTTTAGTGTATCTGTATAATATATTCTTAAAAATGTTTATAATACTGTGATTGTTTCAACTGAATAGTATCACTGTATTTTTGACTCCCTAATTTTTGTACCCCTAAAAACACATCTAATGTTATTAATCTAATACATTTAATTGATCAATACAATCATTTTATATTTTGTCTGATTCCTTAGCTTCCAATATACTTGTATATATATATATATATATATATATATATCATAATATTATGTCTAATTTATAACTAGCAATTATTTTGTTCTATATTTAATTATTGGGTTCATAGCTTCCTTGTGCATATTGTGTCTATGTAATCAGTAGCATATCTGTTGTATTTTAAGGAATATATAGTAATATATTTTACTTATTTTTTATTTTATTTTTTCGTTTTTTGTTTGTTTTGTTTTAAAGAAAGTAGAAAGTAGATGTTATCCTCTACAAGTCCTATAGGTAAATTTATTATTCTTTGTTCAACAATTATGTAACTTCTAATGTTATGTAGCTATAGTTTCATAATAAGTGCATTAAACTTTGATCATTTGAATATGCTGATTTTAATCGATTCTGTTGTAGCTATTAGTTTATATAAAAGTGTGAATCTGGTATTTCTTTCATAACGGGATCTATTAACCATGTGCAACTGTAAACTTCGTATTTAATTAATAATGTGCTCTGTTAACCCTTTTGCAGGATAACGGGATCTATTAACCCTGTGAAACTATAAATTTCGCATTTAATTAATAATGTTAATGCTTTTGAAAAGTACCCTCTAGAAACTGTTCAGTAAAACGAATCTTTAGCAATTTCCAAGAAACAGGAAATGTAACTGCTAATTATGTAATAACAAATAGCTGTATTTAACATCCTAGCATCGAAAATGTATAGTATTATATGTAAAAATGTCTATGTAAAACTGTATGTATATGTGGCACTGTAATCTTTTGGAGAATTGTTAAAAATGCCATCCTGCCTGCTAGCTGTAACCACGGATAGCAGATATTAGATGGCATCTACCAACTTGATAATTACATCGAGAGACTCGTTACGTCCTAGGGTCGGTGGTCTTATTGGTAGTGTTTTCGGTGCTCACCGTCTGTTTCGACGTCCGAGTTTCGCACATGCCTGTGGTGATCACTTGTGAATAAAGATTTCAATTGTACTCATAGTGTCCTTTCGTACCTTTTCATTTGAGCATCCTTTATGTATATCAAAGTATTTAAATGTGTGTAAATCATCACTTGGAATACAAGATTAGCTCTGGCAATCTGGCGATGATTTACAACAAGCTTTATATTTTAATTTTGGATGAAAGGTAGACACTAGTATTTTTTTTTTCCAAAGCAGGCAACATGAAAAATGAACAATGCTCTCACCGGGACTCAAACCACGAACCTCTCGAATACACCCTGAGTGTGCTGACCACTACACCACGAAGGCATGTTATCAATGCGGGAGGAATGAATGCGTTATAACCTTTAAAAATCTCTCCAAATATATAAAATATATCCCTCAAATGTCGCTAATTTCAAATTCTTGACTGTAGATTAACTTAAATGCTTTATGGTATCAGTAAATAAAGCTGGATATCTTCGTTAAAAATTCTTCTATATAAATCAAAACTGTCTTTTACCCATATTTTAAAAGCATTCTTTTAAAATTCTTTGTTATTTTAGTTAACTGCAATAAACAGTCAATGGGACACATTTCGTCGCCTTTGATAAAGAGTTAGGTCTTAAAACTGGACTTAAAAGCCTGCTCATAGATTGTCTCAGATCTAAGCAACTTTCTGTTGAAATATTTAACAAATACCTTGGTGTTATTTCAAATAAATAAAAAGATCTTAAAACCTAATTTTACTTACGTTTCTTCCACAAAATATTATCAAATTTCATACAAATATATCTTCCAGACAGTTCAAAAAATAATGTTTTAAAATGTAGTTTTGAACCCATTTTTTTCAATGTTTTGAAAAAATATATGCGTTGCCAAAACAGCTTAAAAATCAGTATTACATTTATCAATTCTCTTTACGTATAAATAAGTATTATGAGATTCAATCAATTTATTAGAGCATCGTTACATATGAAACGTAAAAATAGTTGACATTATAAGAATTTTAATTGATAAAAATAATGATATTGATCATTAAAATGATATTAATAATAAAATTAATGACTTACGTTAACTGATAAATATTAATGCACTTGTATCTTTAATTCTCAATAATTATTTTTCATGTTAAAGGTTTTTTTGTGTGGCAACTGCTATGTTTCTCTACAGAGAATTTTTGATTACGTTTTAAAATTCGATAGAAATAGAAACAAAACATGTCACCTTGATTATATATTTATTACAGGTTTTGTTAAGAGTTTTATTAATTTTAAGTGCTTATTAGAATTATGCTATTTTGAGTTGATTCAACGAAAGAAGAGTCTCTTTGTGGAACATTACCTGTCCTAAAATATGATTATTGCCATAATATTAAAAATAACATTATTGACTCATTATAAAAGTTCTAAATTTTTGTAGATATATTAGAATTTAGTTACATTTAAATATTTAATTATAAATATAAAAGCGACAGAGCGAAAACTATCTAAAATACCAGATTCTTGTCCTTAATATTTAACAAAGAAATTTTTTTAAGAAGTTTAAAAGCCATACCAAGTTAAGTTAAGTTGATTAGAGTTGGTAGAAATCATGAAACAAATGTTTTTATAATAATTATTCAATTATTATGCTAAAGATCTTAAAATTATTAGTAATAATTAAGTTAAAAAGAAATTATAAAACTATTTAAAATAATTATTACTTACATGCAAAGGAAGACTATAGAAAAAGGTTGAAAGTTTTAGAGATTTTTAATTTGTGCTAAAACAGCAGCATAGGAAAATAATATGAAATGCAACTGAACTATAAATATTGCTGTTTAAATATTTCAGTAGTATGACAGAAGGAATAAAAGTTGCGCCAGTTATTTTTAACATAGATTTTATTAATGTCATTTTAATCGATCTGCATTGAAATTCAAGTCTTAATCAATGACTTCGAGACTTAAGGTAACTTTTATGAAATATGCGAAATAATTAAAAACATAACCGGGTAAATTTTGAAACCGATTTATTTGAAAATAAGACTTTGATAGGAAAACGTTTAAGCTAGATAGTTCTAAAACCTTTTGTTCATGAGACGTTGAATGACTTGCACCTTCTGGCATTCTCACGGTCCATCAAATAATAGCTATTCATTTACAGTTTTCTTGACAACTCGCATCTCTTAATGTTTATGGTAGGAATCCATTTCATTAAGTCGGAATCATTAAAATAAAATTCTGAGAAGGAAAATATATAACAAAAGGAATAGCTGGCCATTTTCAAAGGTCTAAGATAAATTTCGTGACATTTCACGGGAAATTCGGTCAAAAATTAGTTATAGGTTTAAAAGTATTTATAGAAAAACTCGGCAGGCTAAGGATTAAACAGAATTACCACTGAACCATTACATGTAGAATTAGATGCGATAGATCTAATTAAATTTATTGACTGCGCTACTCCATTATTGTACAGGTGGCAGGTGACGGAGGACGGGGACGTCTGGTGATTAACAGAGGTAAACTTGCATATGTCCCGCGCCCTCCCTTATCTTGTGGCAACAACTCCCTGAATCCTCAAGAGGCCACCTCGGGTGTTTATTGAAAAATTTTACGTAATTGTGCATGGCCATATTCGCAGGTGACAGATGAGAGCAGGTCCGGTCACCCGGACGGCTTACATAGACTAATCGGGTGTCGTCCGTATCCCGCAACTATCTGAAGCTACACTCCAAAAGCAATACAAGGGCAAAGTACATGGTCATTCAAGGGCAAAATATAGATTTTTCTGCATGCGGAAGCATCTTCCTGGCTAAATCGCATGTTAATACATTCATACACATACTCACTACACTATACATTTCATAATATGCATTGCGTTGATCAATGCACTGTACTTAAGGCACATTTACAACTCAATGCTACACTTAATACACTATATATCTTTTGGAACATATTACTAAACATTATTCTTGACAATTCAACATAGATTCTGAACAATGTACGAAGGCAAGTTACTTCCAATCCGGCTCTTAAGTTCCTATATTTCAATTTATGTTAGATTGTTCAATTCCATTTCGGTGGCCCACCAGCTGCCGAGCGGTAAAAGCCGCTGAACACTGGTAGTTCGTACGGGGTTCGAGTCCCGGCGAACTGTCTGGCTGCATGGGGGTTTTCGCGGTTTCCCCCATGTGTAACGTGGATACAAGCCAGTTTCTCTTAAAAAGACCTCCCTCCCTTTCGGTATAGTGCCTAAGGGTGGAGCACGTAATAAGAAAAAAAAATAATCCATTTCGGTAGCTGAATTGTATTATTCACATAAAACGTTGAATGAATTTAAACGCTATATTTTAGCGTGTTTCAGGGCTTAAAAGCGGTTCTCTTCCCACACATTTACCTAAATTACATACATTAAACTTATTTCGAACAATAAAAGCAACTAAACCTGAAATACTGAGCAGTTATTCGCACTGCTATTGACCAATATTATATTGTTCATTTATCTGTTGATAAAATATTTAATACATAATATTGCGCATAAACACAGAGAAAAGGAGAAACAAATTCGGCAAAACATTGCGATAATCTGAATGATTCACTTCTGTAACAAATCGTTAACTTCATATAACTTCATACCTTATTTTAAAAAGCATCTGTTTATTGCTTTTTAAAATAAGGTATAACCTGTTGTCAACTAGCAAATACTATGACGGACTGCCACGGAAAATTTGATCGCTCGGATAGCTATCGTCTGCAATCATAGAGTTAAAACGATTTAAAAATCTCCTTTTAGTAATGAAAAGATTAAACTAATAATAAAGAATTCAAATAACACGTCCTTAAACTAGTCATAAAAGCAACGCCAGTAGTTAACTGAGAAAAGGTTGCTAATGTCTGACGTGTTTTGTACGAAAACGTCTAAACTATGTGTAGGAACGTGACGTTTTATTATGACACGAAATTTAAAAATCATGTGAAATTCGATCTGACATTACTGGTAAATTATATTGCTGCCTTTAACTATGTTATTAACTGCACTAAAATACTTAGGCAACATATTTATAGCTAACCATAAAACAAGTCACGTTTAAAAACTGGTAACCATCTGATTAAATCTTTTTTGTCGTGACACTGTGGACAGCTTACCCTGATGACACTTTCTCGGGCGAACTTTCTCTTATTTCATGTCACGGCATAAGTCTTTTCTTCAACTTGCTGCTTTACTTGAGAACATCGTAGAGCAAATTTTATTTATTCGAAAAGTAAAAATTTCCGCAACACCTCCTGCGATGATTGATGTATTTTAATTTTCTTCCTGGCACAGTGTGAATTACGCAGCTGTTTAGTAGACAAGGATTTCCAATTTTAATTCCAACTGCGTTCCAGGTAAGTTGTTTAATTACTTCGTTTCTGTACTTTCTCTTATTCAAAACGTTTGTCTTCAAACTTTAGGTAGCTGTATTACATTTTTCAAAGGAAGAGTAAAAACGTTGCAAAAATATTGCTTATTCGTGCAGTACTAAATCCTAATCTACTTTTAAAATAATCATGTAAATATCTGTTGGGTCCTTTAAAGGAGTAAAAAATTTTTTTTAAAAAAAGGGGTTACCTATTATTATCAGATACATATTATTGCATATTTACGAAAATATTTGTGTTCATTTGACTGTATTTTATTTTTAGGTATTTTTATTGCTATGTATTTTATAATATTTATTTATTTAATGCATTTTGTCGATTAATTTTATGTTTATTGTGTGTTATTGCTTAACTGAATATGTAGCCATATAATGTGCTTGTGAGCCTTTATTTCATGTATTATAAAGCAAATATTTTAATTGGGAGTCGACGGACGTTTGAAGTGTAAAAATAGCTCAATTAAAATCAGGAATATGAGCAAAGATTGTAAGGATCTTAAGTTTTACTAACGTTTATTTTATTTTAAATCTTTACTATCACTTCTTATTTTCTACTTCCGGCCAGAATTATAAGCGTGAAGGTATTTATGCAAAGTTTGTCTGGCGAACGCCAAGTATTTAAGTTGTGGCTTTTTGCCAAGCGAGAGAGAGGAAGCAGTGAGTCGAAGCAGGCCGCTTACCTTAGAAGTTTTACGCAGTTGCTTGTTGCCTTCCAGGCCAGAGGTTTTAATCCTCTTGATAAATGTTAAACGTATTGTAGTGTTCACAGTTCTCTGTACTACATACGCTTCCTGTTAATATAAGGCCAATCTTCCACGTTTATTATTCTAAAGTTAAATTAGAGTTTAGTTTTATTTTTATACTTTTACGTTTTGACCCCAAGTAGCGGGTCGGTGTATTCCGAAGTACGGAAGTCATTGTAAATAGAGAAAAATAAAGGGTTTTGTATACCCTTCTTGTGTATCCTGTCTACTTCCCACAATTGTTGAACATAGCTTTAGTAAGCTCTCTGTTCCGAGTCAGGTCCTTGCATGTTCCCGAAGAAGGTTAGAGGAACATTGAACCTGATAAGATATTCTGCCTTAAAATTTTTGTCGCAAAATTGACGACATTTGGCGATTTTCGCGAAAGTTTCGGTGGTGTGGTGTATTTAATTAGGGCAAAGCACACTAGGCCTATCTGCCTAAGGGGAGGGATGCCTTCGTGGAGGACTTTCTAAGGGTGGTGTGGTGTATTTAATTATGGCAAAGCACACAGGGCTATGTGCCTAAGGGGAGGGATGCCATCGTGGAGGATTTTCTAAGGGAAACTGACTCGTATACACGTTATACATGGAGAAAACCACGAAAACGCCCATACAGCCAGCCCGTTCGCGTGATTCGAACCTCGGACCGAACTACCAGTGCTCAGTG